GAGGAGGACGAGGAGGAGGAGGAAGTGCTGGGGCTGCAGCTGCCCGAGGAGGACGGCGAGGAGGAGGATGAACACAGTGAGGAAGAAGAGGAGGAGGCGGCAGCACAGGGGGTAGATCTTTACATAGACCACAGCGCAGAAGAGGATGGAGAAGGGGAGGAGGAAGAGGAAGAGGAGGATTGGGATGGTGAGGAGGATGGAGAAGGCGAGGTGGATGGTGGTGAGGAGGATGGAGAATGTGAAGAGGAGGAGGAGGTTGAAGATGATGATGGGGACCTGTCCATGGAAAGTGACATGGAGGAGCGCCGCCAGGACACCAAGCTCCCCCACGAGCTCTCCTGGGGCCAACGCAAGCAGCTCTACTACGACACTGACTATGGGAGCGATGCCCAGGCCAAGGGCAAGCGTAGCCATCAAGAAGTGGATGCTGAAGAGGAGGAAGAGGAGCAGGAGGCTCAAGTCATCCAGAGGCGGTTGGTGCAGGACTTAGGGGAAGATGATTACGGACTGGATGTGATCCAGGGCTACCTGACTGAACAGCAGAAAACCCGTGATGGCAAGGGCCAGAAGATTGATAAAGACTTGCAGGCCCTTTCCAAAAAGGAGCAGCTGAAGCTACTGAAGCAGGAGTCCCCTGAGCTCCTGCAGCTGCTTGAGGACTTTGAAGTCAAGCTGATGGAGCTCAAGGATGAGCTGCACCCACTGCTGCAGATGGTCAGAAACGGCACTATCCCGCAGGGGAAGGGCAGTCGCTATTTGCAGACTAAGTATCATCTCTACTTGAATTACTGTGCCAATATCAGTTTTTATTTGGTTTTGAAGTCCAAGAGGATGCCAGTTCATAGTCACCCCATTATCGAACGGCTGGTTGCTTACAGAAATATAATCAATGACCTAGCTGTTATAGATCAGAAGCTATCCTCAGAAGTTCGTATGCTTTTGAAAAACTACTATGATAAGAGGGAAGATAAATTACGGAAGGAGAAGAAGTTTGCGGTGTTTCTCCCGCTGGATGTTAAGAAAAACAAACCAAAACGTGCTCCTGCGCTTGCTAATGGCCGGGCTGCTGCCGGTGAGCTGTCGGAGGAGTCAGACCTGGATGAAGAGGCTGCGCTAAAATACTACAGGATGATGGAGGGGAAGCTGAAACTCAAGAGGAAGAGAACTGAAGACCAAGACATGCTCGAAGAAGAAGCAGCGGTGTTGGAAGGAGAGGATCCAAATAAAAAGAGAGGTGTGACCTATCAGATGATCAAGAACAAAGGCCTCACGCCCAGAAGGAAGAAGATCGATCGCAACCCCAGGGTCAAGCATCGGGAGAAGTTTCGGCGAGCCAAGATTCGCCGCAAGGGCCAGGTCCGTGAAGTTCGGAGGGAACTGCACAGATACTCCGGGGAACTGTCTGGCATTCGTGCTGGTGTTAAGAAAAGCAGGAAGCTTCAATGATACATATTTTTCTCTGTTTCTGAGAGAAATAACCAATAAAAATTTTATAAAAGAACTATGGGTTTTTTTTATCCTTAAGGAAACTGTGGGGTGGTACTTGTTTGTGAGGGATGGGAGGGGAGGGCAGGGGGTGGGATGGGGTGATCTCCTGAGTGCAGGCTGAGGGTGGGATTCACTTTTTTTACTCTCTCGTTCTGGTCCATCCTTCTGTGCTGACCAACAGAATGAGGTATGTGTGGCTCTGGTATTTTCTCTAACTCTTGTTCTGATTAACCCCTTGTGCTCATACACTTAAGAACTAGGTATTTTAGGCTTGCTTAAATATTTCTAATTTTGTAACTGAGCAGAAAAAACTTACTATCTCAGGCTGCATGGGATTTAAGTGTTTCCCCTCCTGAATTCAGTGAGAAGCTGAGCAAGGACTTCTGTGGATTTCATAGTCACCTATATCTGTGGTAAATACATTCACTTCATCTATGATAAACATGTGAACTGTTGATGTGGCACTGATTTGGGACAAACAGGTAAGACATAACGTTGTCTTTGGTTGGAAAGCAAACTTTCAAAATGTGCCCATGACTTCATGCCTTCTGCTGGGAAACCACACTTAAGCCCACACCGCAGTTCATACTGGGAGCTGACACTGAGTGGCCAGTTCAGTTGAGGCTGTAAAGGAGGAACAAGCAACGAGTGTTTCTTGGAAGTTTAGCAAAAGCTGCCTCAGGTAAAACCTGCACTTGTCATAGAATCAGAATGGCTTGGGCTGGAAGGGACCCTAAAGACCATCCAGTTCCTACCCCCCACCCGCCAAGGGCAGGGACACCTTCCACTAGACCAGGTTGCTCCAAGCCTCATCCAGCCTGGCCTTGAACACTTCCAGGGATGGGGCATCCACAGCTTCTCTGGGCAACCTGCGCCAGTGCCTCTCCACCCTCTCCAGGAAGAACTTCTTCCTGATATCCAATCTAACCCTCCCCACTCTCAATTTAAACCCGTTACCCCTTGTCCTGTCACTACAGGCCCTTGTAAAAAGTCCCCCCCAGCTTCCTTGTAGCCCCTTCAGGCACTGGAAGGTGCTATAAGGTCTCCCCGGAGCCTTCTCTTCTCCAGGCTGAACAAGCCCAACTCTCTCAGCCTGTCCCCATAGCAGAGGGGCTCCAGCCCTCGGAGCATCATTGTGTCTGGGACAGGTTTTGGGGAGCCCACACCTTGGTTGTGTACCAGTAGCGTCTGAAGGGCATTACTGTGTTTCCCATGTGAAATCACTCCAGGGGAATAATCCACAGTAAATGCTGTTGGATGTTATGGAAGCACTAGTGTGACTAGACAGTTTGGTTTGGAGTGGGCTCTTTGTGTGGTAGTGTTGGGGGGAGCCAAACTGCTGGTGTGTGTTGTTGCGCCTGTGACTGGCTTGATGCTGTGAGTCAAACGTGCAGGGTCTCTGCTGCGTTTCTGCAAGTGCAGTGTGCTTCCCTGCGTTTTGGTGTAAGCCTTTTGCAGCCTGGGCTCAGTTCTGCCAGGAATGTGCTGCTTATTGCTGCGGGGGAGTAAGCTGTTGATTTTTCAAAGCTGGTTGTTAAAGGGAGAGGTAGAAAAAACAATAAATTCAAACTGGAAAGGTGGGAACAGAAGTAAGGAGACTTTCTGTAGGCTTTAGATATCCCAAATCCATGGGATGTGGGGCTATGCGTGGTGATTTCAGAGGGGATGCCGATATGGTAGATAGGCGTGTGGGGCAAAACAGTGAAACAACAAGTTCTTCTGACTCCAGTGGCCCTGCGTTGGTTTGCCCCTGCTGCTTACAGGCCAAACAGCCATTCAGTGCTGCGTAATAAAAACTGCTCCCCAGAAACAGGCTACAAAGCGTTGGGAATGGACCCTCTCTGGGAAATTGCTCGGGAGATCCTTGCGGGCCTGCAGAGCTGTGACATTTTGCACAGCAAGGGGTAATGGGAACTGCTGTAAGGGCTGGAGGAGCGTTGATGGCAGCAGAGCAGTGGGGGTTTCGGGGCAGCGCAAGGACTTGCTGCCTGTGCCGGTAGCAGGCTCTGGAAAGGTCGCAGGTAAATGCAGGAGTCAGGATTAATCCATCACATCCTGAGGTGGCGGAGGGTGAGCCTATATATACTTTTCACATGGTGTAATTCTCGCAAAAGGAAGGCAGGATGTTCAGATCAAAAGCACCTCCTGGGACAGAGAAATTAGTGCAGTCCTTTGCAGTAGCAAGAGGCAGCTAGGGCTCGTCCAGGAGTCCAAAAGCTGGAGAAGATTTGGAACATAAGGTTTCCTGGCAGCAACTGGCTTAAGATGAAAGTCGCAGTCTGGAGTGCTGCTTTTCCAGGGAAGCTGGGGCTGGCTCAGCTCCTCGGGCCGAGGCACATGCCGAGCTCCGAGCCCCACTCTACAGGAGGGTCATGGTGGCACCAGTGAGGCTTGAGGAAGTCGCTGAACGTGTCTCCTGATTTGAGCAGTGCTCTCCGTAACCTGATGGCCTCGGGAGAGATAGGTAACCTGTTCCCTGTGGGGACAAAATGTCCTTCACCTGCGCTACTCATCCTCCCTTCCTGTGAGCAGCCATCAGCACTGTCAGCCGCTTGCTCTTCCCAGTGGGAAATGGGCAGCTTTTAGCGGGCCCCAGCCTTACCAAGGAGGCACCCAGAGCTTTTCCCTGAACAACACCTTTCATTAACTCTGCACTGGGATCACGACAGAGGCCAGCCCTAATCACGCCTAGCTGTGCTCCTGAGGATCTGCACAGAGGTCAGTAAATGGAAACGTGCTGGAACAAAAGCAGCTTAGGTGCTTTTTCTGGGAAGGAGCAGTGTTGCGTAACGGGTATCACATGGGATGTGGAAAATACCCAGCAGAGATGCTGACTGATCCCATTAGTGCAGCACCTGCTCACTACAGCACAGATGAAGGGCTGACGGTGTTCTGCAGATCCGCAGGCAAGATGTTAAGTGTTCAAGGTGTCTTGGTGTTCCCTTGAAATGCTTGAGGCAGCTGGAAAGCAAAATTCTGGCAACTTCCACCTGAGCAATAACTAAGGGAAATAATAAATGAGTGAGCTGTCACAGATGGGCTCCCCAGGAACGGTGGGATGAAGGCGGAAGGGGGCGGGCAGCATATCGGCACGCCACCGCTCCCTGGACCGCAGCACCCACCCATTTTAACAAAGATTAAACAGCATTATGTGCAGTTGGTTAGTTCGGAAATTGGACAAAGCCATAAATAGGTTTTATGTATGGGTGGTCCTGGGAAGGCCATGATGACTAATGCCGTGGGGGGTGAGTCACTGTAACGCTGCTCTAAGAAATACGTCTTAGAGGGATGTTTGATGCTGAAGGGAAACCCCTGATGGTAAAAAGGTTTTGAAGATCCCTATGAAAATGGATATGTCTGAAATAAGGGAAGGACAACAGACGATGGTCAGGAAACTAAGTGAGGAGCGGATCAAGTGGCAGCTGCCCTGCTCAGAAAGGAGCGGTGGTGGGGTCTGCCCCGGCAGCACCTGGCACAGGTCAGGACCGACACGCTCAGGCAGCAGCGATGTCTCGCCCAAATCGTCTTGCACAGCCATGGAGGCACCTGCCTCCGTGTCCTTTCCATCCGCCCGCTCGGAGCACAGTCATTCAAGAGAGAGTCCCGTGTGCGCTTGCACGCAAATGATTCGTATTTCAAAAGCACGTAGGCGGTGTGCAGAAAGATCTGCGGAGAGGTGTGAGCTGCTCTGTTGTCCTTCTACGCTTGGAAAACATAATCCTCGGTGGGTGATGAGCACCCGGTGTAAGCCTGGCTTGCCTTTGGAAGCTTGAGCAGATGATGTACAGTGGCAGGGCGGTGGCCAATGCTTTCTGCATCACGACCTGAAATTTCTATTTATGCAGGGTAAGGTAAATATATTGAATAACTCACACAGAAATACATCTGTTACGGCCTTAAATTTTGTCAAAGCTTCCCTAGTTGTCTCTAATATTCTGTCAGCAACAGCCTGGATGTTGCTTTACTCTCACTGGCACTGGCAAACACACATCTCCAAGCTGAATGTTTGGATTTCTAAAATGTATTGAAGCATCTGTTAAATCAGCTGTGACACGTTGCACGACTTGGGGCAGCACTGGAAAAAGCAGTCTCCAGGAGTCGGTTACCTTCACAGCTTTGCTTTTGCGATTTTTACTTGAGATTTTATTAAAAGGAAAGCAGCAATGTGTTGCAGTTTAACCCAAGTGCACTGAATGCTCACCTGGAGTTCTGCGTCCAGCCCTGGGGCCCCCAGCATCAGAAGGATATCAACCAGTTGGAGTGAGTCCAGAGGAGGCCACGAAGATGCTCCGAGGGCTGGAGCCCCTCTGCTATGGGGACAGGCTGGGAGAGTTGGGCTTGTTCAGCCTGGAGAAGAGAAGGCTCTGGGGAGACCTTATAGCACCTTCCAGTGCCTGAAGGGGCTACAAGGAAGCTGGGGGGGACTTTTTACAAGGGCCTGTAGTGACAGGACAAGGGGTAACGGGTTTAAATTGAAAGTGGGGAGATTTAGATTGGACATCAGGAAAAAATTCTTCCTGGAGAGGGTGGTGAGGCACTGGAACAGGTTGCCCAGAGAAGCTGTGGATGCCCCATCCCTGGAAGTGTTCAAGGCCAGGCTGGATGAGGCTTTGAGCAACCTGGTCTAGTGGAAGGTGTCCCTGCCCGTGGCAGGGGGGGTGGAACTAGATGGTCTTTAAGGTCCTTTCCAACCCAAACCTTTCTATGATTGTATGGTTCTATATTCTTTCAAAACTGGCAGATTTATGTTCTTTCTCCCTGCCCGTTGACAACACTACAGTCCACATCAACTGCCTTGCCTTGATGAGAAGTCTTTAGTGCTGCCTTCAGAAACAATGTGATGTTCCCGTTACTGTGGCCTACCTGGTACTGCTAATAGCAAGGAATATATTTGGACCTCGTATTGTCACCTTGTCAAAGGATCTGAAAATGCTACTGTCCATGAGATCTCCCCTGCGGGAAAGCGAGAGAGGCAGGAGATGCT